GCCCTGAGGTTGTGGACTGTGACGATGAGGAAATGGATAGCCAGCAGAAGAAGAGACGGCGGATAAAGAAGCCCCAGCCAGACAGCAGTGATGATGAGGGTAGGAAAGAGATAGGGGGAAAAAACAGAGGGGGTGGAGGCTCAAGTCATGCTTGGCAGATTTGAATCAGTCCAGATGAGGCACTCTGACCCAAAATGAAGAAAAACAACACACACACACACACACACACACACACACACACACACATAGACTTTTATACTTGACATATGTCTCTTCTTCCCTCTTCCAGTTGTGCCAGATTCTCCACCTGTGCCTAATGTACACACTCCCAGCCCTAAAAAACAAGTGAAGAGAGAGCCTGTTTCACACCAAGAAGTAAGCATTACCAACATCAGTAATTACTAGCTTTTTTAGAAGCAATTTCCAAACACTCCTACAGGAAGTCCCACCTCAAACTCGACATGCCAAAATGCCAGGTCAGTCAAACCAGTAGGGTCAAGGTTAACATGGGCAGTTAGCTACTGCCGATAGATGGCGTAAGAGAACTCATTCATGACCATTCAAAAGTAGTCATCTATTCATACAAAATGCTTTTCTTTCTTTCTTTTTTTGCAAAGAAAAACACTGTGTGCTATTCTCTTGTGACTAACAGATATCGATATACAAGTCATTAATTTACACACATATCTCATTTGTATTTTCCATTCAGCAGTAAAATTGTCATTGATTATGTTCTTGGCTCGTTCAGGAGAGTTCAGAGGTGAAAAGGAGGAAAAGAAGGCGTGTTTTGAAGTCTAACACATTTGTTGATGAAGACGGTGCCTTTGGTAAGTATGATGTCAGTTGGCATTTTCCATAGTTTTGATTAATGTTCCACAAATTTTTGGATGGCTGATACCAATATCTTAAGAGAGCAGGATGGCCGATATAAAGCTGATATATGGTTTTAAACTTTACTAACAATTAACAATTGCTGCCAATGACATTTATATTTATTTGACATATTTTGTCAATTAAAATAATAAAAAAAACTATATAAACAAGCATTCTTAGTGCTTTGAAAATAAAAGTCTAGTCGATGTCAAAATAAGCATAACGTTTTGGCAGTTGCTGAAAAAAATGGCAAATATCAATTGATATTGATCTGCTCCACGTACATGAACCATCAAATGCATCATAATCTGTTATATAAAGGATAATGATTTTAAAAATGCATCGTATTTAACAATTGGTTTCAATGCAAATAATGTTTTATTAACAGAATTTGTGGCACTTATGTCAGTTGCCACATACATTTGTTTCTGCTCATCTGTTTTATTCTTTTGTAGTTACGATAAAGGATTTACAGTAGAAGTACACAGGGCCAGTAAATAAATATGACAATGCACACAGTGTTTTAAAAGTTAGGTAATTTTAAAAAGGTGATTCACATTATGCTTACCCTTTGTTTCCAGTTTAACCTGAAAGATTTCTTTAAACAGGGTGCATAACATTGACTGAACTCTCTCCTTACTTTTACAAGCACATCATTTATAAGCACTGACAGAAACACTTAAACCATTGAGTAAATCATAAGTTATATGACAGAAATACAGACGGCTGGCAAACTATTTTTGCTAAAACTGTTTATTTCAGATTATTTTTGACTTTATGACTTTATGTGGAGGAAATCCTCGTGTTTGAAGACCAAAAGCACAAATGTGTGTTTGATTCCTATAACTTTGCGCCACTGGTATTATTTTTGTACTTAGCAGTGTCTAATATTACACATTCCTTAATGCCAGTTGTCTGTTCAGCACAAAAACTCTTTGAAGTGGATTTTTTTATTGTATGTTAACCAAATTCATGTGTTTTTTTTTTTTCTTTATTTGTTTGTTATTATACATGATTGACCAGACCAAGATTTATAGCGTAGCCAGGAATGTGTATTGTTCTAAAACCTAGTGTGTTGTCTACAGAGGCAGTAATTTAAGACATAATAATAAGCACAATGTGAAGGCTGTTAATATTAATTACGCTGCCTAAGGAACTTTCCTTTGGCCAAAAAGAATGGCATTTTTGCAAAATCACTGTGACAGAGTAAATCCCCGTGCGTATATACAGACCCCAAACCAGACACTTATATTCACCACATGTGTCTTGACAATGAATAACCAATGTTTCTGTTTTCCTAGTGACCGAGAAGGGTTATGTGAGCGAGTCTTACTCTGAGAGTGAAGAGGAGCCTGAACCCAACAGTCAAGCCAAACACTCGAGCTCACTCAAGCAGTCATTTGGAAAAAGAAAGGAAGAGAAAAAAGAAAAGAGTCAGAAGAAGACCTCTACTGCTAACAAACCTGCAAAACAGCCATCCATCATGGGATTTTTCCAGAAGAAATAACGTTTTAACTCTTTCATGGAATTTAAAGGAATAGTTCACCTGGAAGCGAAAACACGAGGATGAAGAAATAATGCCTTCATGTTTTTTTGGGTGAAATATCCCTTTAAGCACTTAATTTTCAGCAGTGACATTCCCATGAACCACATCTGATGCTGTATAGAGGAAATCAATCTTCATTGTCGCTGTCACTCTTCAGAGACATTGAAACAGGAGATTTCTGCTTCTACATGAACAACACTTACCCATTCAACTTCACTTGCTGGATTTCAGTTCTGGGCCTGATAGGATTGTCTGTTGTAGTATGTAAATGTATGATCCTGCTGATCGAGCAGATTTCTTTACTATAAGCCAACCTGCACATAGCCAACCACCAATAATTCCCATACTGCCAGGTTTGTGGAGTCTGTCTATTTTTAGTATGTTTCTAGATAATAAATCGAAAGATAAAATAATTTTTCTTTTTGTTTGCATTAATATTCTTGTAAAAGAAATACCAATTGGTTTAGACAGAAATGTCTCTGACATTCATTAGTTAAGTCCATTATTACTCTGCTCAGTGGTCAAGATAATGTTTTTCTCTTGCTGTCTTGTTTGGTTCCGGTGAGTCAAGTTGTTTTCTCCTCCGAGCTTCATATTTCTATATGACATCAGTTTCTGGCTCCATAGTTGTGTTAATCTTGGACATTTCCATTTATCAAAACTAAACTTACTGTGTGGAAAGGCATGCCTCTGGAAATGCACATCAAAATCAGTCCAAGCTCTTCTGATCCAGTGCCACAGACGTGAAATTGAGCGTTTTGTGCCAAGACATCATTCCCCATAAACTCGCTTTTTTCCCTGAGGAAAGGCTCCTAAACTTAGGCCTGAGTTAGTATGTGCGATTGAATTCAAGAACAGAGTGTTCTTTATATTGTTGTAAAACATTTGTATTGTGCTTTCAAACCTGGGGTCCAGGAAAGTGAGAATTTCTGATTGCTTTGTATACTGAATAATCACAATTTTTCCTCTTTGTGATCATTTGATATGTAAAAAAAGAAAACACTTGACACTAATTACCTTATCCAGCTGCATTCTGTGAAGAAAAACAATGTGGTTTTGTTTGTTTTGTGCAGTTAGGTGTTTGCTCGTTCCCTTAGCTCACCCTTGCAGGCCTCTCGCTGGGCAGTCAGATGTAGACTGGGGTGAGGCGCCTGTACTGGATACCTTATCAAACAGCCGTTTAAAATTTTAGGTGCCTCATTGTCTGAGAAAATCCTTTGCTCGATTGCATAGCTGTCGTTGGAAAAATGCGGCAATGGTTTTGGCTCGCCGTCGCTTCGGGAGTGGGGTTAACTGTTTCCAGGTTTACCTTCAGTCTTCAAAGGTGCACTTGTTCAGCTACCTGTTTGGATCCTTTTGGTTTCCATATAAACCACTAATGCACAACAATAATGGAACAATGAAAAAAAAAACTTATTAAATTGAAAAAGTGCAATTTGCAGCCCGATTGCTAGTGAAGAATACTGGCTGCATTTTTAGATATTTATGTCATGATTTACTCATCCTCTGGTGAGGTAGGATATTACACAATGCTATTAAAAATGATGTGAAGGGAAAAAAACGAGGTATGGAAGCCCAAATTGAAAAGGTAACTGGGACTTTTTATCTCACAATTCTGGCTCCTTTCTCGCAATTCTGAGAACTGAATTCTTTTTCAGAATTGTGAGATATAAATTCAAAATGGCGAGATATAAACTCACAAGTCAGAATTTTAAAATCGCAATTGCAAGAAAAACTGTCCGAATTCTAAGCTTATATCACACAATTCAGATTTTTTTCTCTGAATTCTATGTATATGTCGCTATTCTGTTTACCTCGCAATTCTGAGAAACAAAGTCCAAATTGTGAGAGATTTTTTATTCCACAGATGAATCAAGCTTCTATAATAAGGTTTATTTTCCATTAAAGAAAAATAAATGTGACAAGAGTCATCATTTACCACATCCATTTGTGTAACACTTATAATGTACATTATTGTTTCTCCTCTATGCCCCGCCTTTCTGAAACAGATTTTTACAAAGCTCATCGTTGAAAAGCGAGGTATACGCTGATTGGCCAGCTATCCAGTGCTATCCAGTGATTGGCTGAATACCTTAAGCTTGTGACGGAAATGTTACGCCCCTTACCATACTGTGTTTCCGTGTGTCCCGGCGAGACAAGACAAAACCAATAAAACCCATAACAAACGAGGCATTTGTTGCATTCAGTGGGGACATAATTACGGATTATAATGACTTGTACTGTGTTTTTTACGCATTGCGTTGCGTATTGCGCCGTGTAAACATAAAACCATGTCTGCATTTGTGATCGGAGAAATGACAAACAAGAAGTGCTACTCTACACTGCTCAAAACTCGTGTTTGAATCATCAGTGGCAAATTCTTTAAATATAAAAAACGTACTTACAGTCTGTGAGTCAGAAGCACCAGACTGTCCTTGCAAAGTTGGAACTGCCCCACTTTATAGAAACAGCCTTTGAGTACAAACGCATTGTAGGCTACTCTGCATGTTCAGGAAACAGTCCTCCATAAAATGTGCTGCACACATCTGAATATTTGGGTTGAACGGTTCTGGAACAGTGTTGTAAATACAACTTAACCACTGATTTCTAGTTGTGTCCTCTTTTGGAAGGCCAAACAAAGTAGTTTCGCTCTCACAACGAAACACACAGTGGCTTGAGTGAGCGGAGGCCGGCGGACTTGCCGCAACCACATGTGACGACCCCGGGCTGGACTCCGCTTCGTCCACGGTGAAAGCCGATCCGGCGATCCACAGCGCAAAGTTGATGTATTTCCTCA